CTAATGTTCAAATGCAACTAGATCTTGTGCTTTAAATTGGGTATAAGCTACTTGATTGAATCTGCTAATTTTTCGAAATTGGAAACAGAGAGATGATGTTGAAGTTTTTGTTTTTATTTTGGATCTTATGACTATGTAATGAATGTGAAAAGGGTTATTGTAAAATTGCAGGTTGTCCAATTGTTTTCTTGCTTAGATAAAATAAGCTACATAGAATGGGCACTTGATTCGGAATACATTCTTTGCGGTCTCTATAAAAAACCCATGATCCAAGCTTGGTCATTGACACAACCAGAATGGACTTGCAAGATTGATGAAGGTCCTGCTGGTATCTCCTACGCTAGGTGGAGTCCAGACAGCCGTCATATACTCACAACGTCTGAGTTTCAGCTGCGGTTAACAGTTTGGTCACTTTTGAACACAGCGTGTGTTCATGTTCAGTGGCCAAAGCATGGCTCTAAGGGAGTTGCATTCAATCAAGATGGGAAGTTTGCTGCGATATGTACACGGCGTGACTGCAAGGACTATGTTAACCTTTTGTCTTGTCAATCGTGGGAGATAATGGGTAGCTTCGCTGTGGACACCTTGGACTTGGCTGATCTTGAGTGGTCACCTGATGATAGTTCTATCGTAGTGTGGGATTCGCCTCTTGAATATAAGGTATGTATCGTTTTGGAATTTTGTTATGTTTGGTTTTGTTGGGGATATCTCTAAAGTTTGTAACTTTTGGGCAGGTTCTAATCTATTCTCCAGATGGTAGGTGTCTATTTAAGTACCAGGCATATGAATGTGGGCTTGGTGTGAAGACTGTTTCCTGGTCTCCGTGTGGTCAGTTTCTTGCCATTGGTAGCTATGATCAGATGTTGCGGGTCCTGAATCACCTTACTTGGAAAACATTCGCTGAGTTCTTACACCTATCAACGGTTCGTGCGCCCTGTTGTGCTGCTATTTTCAAGGTAGAGTCCTTTCCATTCTTTTGCTTAAAAGTTTCTAACAGCCGCACAAATGCTGCTTGTCAACTTAGGCGTGTACTTAACCTATTGGTCATTATTCGTTTCTAGGAAATCGATGAACCCTTGCAGCTTGATATGTCTGAGTTATCACTGGATGAAAAATTTATGCCAAGTAATTATGGTAACTATGGTTCCAAACATGTTCTTTTCTGACTAGGACATCTTCTGTAACACTCTTGTTGTCTTCAATCTTATCTTCTTCTTTTTTTTTCCTGTGGTTCTATGTCCAGATGCTTCAGAAGGCTATATAAGTGTCAGGTATGAAGTCATGGAATTACCAGTAACTTTTCCTTTCCAGAAACCTCCGGCAGACAAGCCTAACCCAAAACAAGGAGTTGGTAAGCTCTTTCTTCTGCAACAAAACGTAACATTGGAAATTGCTATCAGATTTGGAAAACTTTCCGTCTTGTATATAATTTCCAATAGCTAAACTCTTTCAAAATGTTCTCAGGCCTTCTGGCTTGGAGCAAAGACTGTCAGTACGTATGCACAAGGAACGACAGTATGCCCACTGCTCTATGGATATGGGACATGCGCCACCTCGAGGTTGCAGCCATCCTGGTCCAGAAGGAACCTATCCGAGCTGCCGTGTGGGACCCGACCTGCACCCGCCTCATCTTATGCACCGGAAGATCTCACCTCTACATGTGGACCCCCTCGGGTGCGTTCTGTGTATCGAATCCCCTCCCGGGATTCTCTATAACTGACCTCAAATGGAACATTGATGGTAGCTGTCTCCTTCTCAAAGACAAAGACGCATTCTGCTGTGCCACGGTCCCGCCTCTGCCTGAGACCAGTGACTACAGCTCTGATGACTGAGGATTCCTTATGTGCTTTTTTGTAAAAGTTGCAGCTTTGTGTCTTTCGATTTTAGGATTGTAAATTTTTTCCGGCCTGTTACTAGTGTCTAGTGATTTGTTAAACTATTTTCAACGTATAAAAAAGCTTTCTTGAATAACAAAAAAACCGTTGAGTCCTTGACCCAACCAAAGAAAGCTCTCATTTCAGGAAATAGGCTCCTGCTTGATGTTGGTCAATGGTCAACTCAACAAATAAAGGTATCACCAAAACTCTCCAATAACTGTGGAATAGGTTTCAGGATGTGTTTCATAACATTCAATATGGGATTGTGATTAACTTGCGTTTTCTTAATCATCATGTTACAGGATCATTTTATAAATGTTCGGACAATGTTGATCCGCATGAAGTACATAGGTACCTTCTGGTTCATTACTTTCAAAACTCCGTTAAAACTTAATAGTTGATAACGTATACAATTTGGTAATACAGACAGATACTAGATTGAAGTTCTCTCGTAGACTTTAGAACTATTCAACACATTCTGGTAATATGAAAAAGTATATAGGTTGTTCATCCTGCACACATTGCTGAACGCGAGATACTGATGATTGAGTTTCTTCCAGTATTTTGTTGGAACAATGGAGAATGTTTCGATAAAAGAGTGTTGTGCTCTTTCCACGAACCAATGGATTTGGTTTTAGTCATGATTTGTAACTGTATGATAAGTTTACTCTTGCTGTGGTGACCGATAAGATGGGCCAGGCTCACCCTTCGATCTAAAAACAGGTTAGTTCATCACCGATGCATTGTGACATGTGCGTATAAGACATCTCACTGACAAACATGAAACCAGACAAAGAGATTCAGAATGGTATCCTGGTTTGTCACTATTATTACTAATACTCAACCACATTTTCAACAAGGAGAAGTAGATATTTAGATAAATATCTCTACTCTATTTATTCTCCATTAGCAAGTTGTGCATATCCCTTTCAAGGTCTCTGTAGCTTGTGGTCCATTTCTTTTATCAATGATACTTGACTTGTACCTAACGTATGAGACAAACATTAGCTGCTACATTCTTAAAACTGGTCCCTCATGCAACTTGTTCATCTTGATTCAATCCTCCTTGTCCTCTTGTGTGGATTTTAGGTACACTTTCTAGGTCTCGTTCTAAATCTTTGCAGGTACACTTGTCGAAACTGTTTTCGGTAAAGTTTCTTATATGTGGGAGATTGAGACCTTAGTTTTTGTTTGTGTTCAAAGGATCTGAAACCCAATATCTTGAGAGAACTATCTTGGTACAAGAACTTGTTTCGAAATCTTACGGTCTTTTAAGACATTAAGAAACAGAACATCAATACAAATTTGTTGCAAGAGTTCTTAACACACTAACCTACACACTTCATTTCCTCTGTACAATTAATTTATACAGTGAAAACTGCTCACACTCTTATTAACTGTTAAAATGCATCACAGGTCGTTTCTCCATCACTTGACAATGAAGATGAATTGCTCTGACTTCTTTGAAGGTCCTCCTGCACATCAATTCTCTTCCTTTTCCTTCCTGAATTCACCGGAGCTTCGTATTTTCCGGCGTCAAGAGGAAAGTTTAGCACGGCTTTTCTTCCCCTGAGCTTGAAAGCTGCACAATCATAAGCTCTTGCAGCATCAACATCACTCTCAAATGTTCCAAGCCAAATCCTAGATCCTTTCTTTGCAGGATCACGAATCTCTGCTGCGAATTTCCCCCACGGCCTTCGTCTCACTCCTCGGTAATGCCTTGT